ATAAAATATAGAACAACATTAAAACTCATACAAAAACAGAAAATTAAAAGAAATAACAAATATTACTCGTAAATAATCTTATTTTATTGTGTTACTATACTCATATGGAATAATCCAGATCCAATAAAATATTCGGATTTTTTCTATTCATATATTGTGCCACATTTCTGTCTTTTGAACAGAATTTGTATTATTTTTGCATATCCTTAAATTGCAGTCATAAATTTACTTTTACATTTACATATTTTATAAGCAAAACTCGCTTTATTTATATGTGTGTCTAGCCCACATTTCGATCTATCAAATATGATTTAGTATATTTGCATACAACTCCACTCTCTCTATGCTCTCTACAGTTCTACAGCTCCTTAAACATTTTAAATCCTAATCCGAAACATTTTCGTACACTTTAAAGCTGTTGATGTTTAACCTGCTTAAGTGCGAAATATATGTATAGTTTCACTTCAAGTGCATTTCACACTTAACTTTTGATTATTTTTTAACTTCACTAATCGAGAAGAACATTTCATATATGTATATCTTTATCTTTTCCAGCTCTGTGTATCCACAGGGTAAATTGCAGTCATGCGTTGCCGACCTTCGAGTTTTTTATGCTCAATTTTCTCAACTACAACTCTTCTGCCGGTCTGTCTGTGTGAGAGCGTGTGCGTGTGTACAAGTGTTTGTGTGCTGCCATGGCGGTCCTTTGGTCGTAACTTGCGCTCAGGGCTCACAACACTCCAGTTTTGTGGCACTGCGAAATGCATTTCATACGCAATAAAAATACACTTGCCGAGTGGTTTTACAGCTCGACCGTTTCTTTTTGGCTGTCGCTTCTTTTAGCGCCGTTTTGCTATAATATTTCCTACTTATACAAACAAAAACCCCAAAAGTCACTCGCTCTGCTTTGCTCAGCTCCTTATGAGTGTGTGTTTGTGTGTGTTGTTGTTTTTTTAAGGAAATTTAATGAGCTACTTAATGTTGTTGTTCAAGCTCCGCTGTTGCAGTTCATTTTTTCAGTTTTTACGATTTTAACAAGTTGGTTGTTAAATAAATTTAAATTACGATGTCCCAGGCGCCCTTAGCACTGCTCCGCCCAGTTCATTATGATGTTGCACTAAATAAATAAAAAAATAAAAAAAAAGCCAGAGGGGAATAAGTGTAAATAAGTTCAATTCATGGAGTGTGCTGCCAATTTATTAACCTGGCCTACAAATACTTCATCATTTCAACAGCTCACCTTTATATACATATATTCGCTGAGTGCACAATATTAATATTTAATATAATTTCAATTTTTTTTTTTTTTTTTAATGCGAAATATATGGGCATGATATGAAAAGCTGCAATATCACGTTGTATGAATATTTACCTTAGGCCTTTGTTGTGCGTCGATGACTCACACTTTTGGTTTGATTTTTGAGGGTTTTGGTAATTGATGGCACTTAGGTCAGCTTTTGAAAAATTGAGAAGGAAAAGTGGAAAGATTTGCCAGAACGAATGCTGGAGCAAAGAGCGTTTCGAATACAATCTTTTCAATTCGGGATGGGTGGAGAGGTT